TGAAGATGTAATTAAAAACCTACCAACAAAGAAAAGCCCAGGCCCTGATGGACTCGTTGCTGAATTCTTTAAGAAATTTAGAGAACACCTAATGTTGTTACTTTTCAGACTCTTTAATGAAATCGAAAGGGAAGCAATACTCCTAAAGTCAATCCTGGAAGCAAGCAATACCCTGAACCTAGGGATGCAGGGATGGCTCCACATATGCAAATCAATAAATGTAATATACCATGTTAACAGAGCCAAGGACAAAAACCGTATGACCATTTCAATAGCTGCAGGAAAAGCATTTGACAATCATGATAAAAACCCTAAAGAATTTGGAATAGATTGTGCTTGTCTCAATCTGATGAAAACTATCTATGACAAACGAACAGTCAACATCATACTAAATCATCTTAAATGGACAAAAACTGAAAGCTTTCATGCTAAAATCAGGAACAAAACAAGGATGTACACTATCACCACTCCTGTTCAATACAGTTCTGGAAACATTAGCTAGAGCAATTAGACACGAGAAAGTAATAAAAGGAATAAGGATATGAAAGGAAAGGGAGAAGTTAAATTATTATTATTTGTGGATGACATGATACTCTACACAGAAGACCCCAAAACCTCCACCAAAATACTTCTAGATTTAATAACCAGCTTCAGTAGCATAGCTGGATACAAAGTCAACACTCAAAAGTCAATAGCATTCCTGTACACAAATAACAAATTCACTGAGAGAAATTAGGGAAACAATGTTTTCCATAATAGCATGGGGGGGGGAGAAATATAATCAATCTAACAAAAGAAGTAAAGAATCTTCACATTGAAAACTACAGTACTCTGGAAAAGGAGACTGAAGAGGATATCAGAAAATGGAAGTTATCCTTTATTCCTGGGTAGAAAGAACCAATACAGTGAAAATGGCCACGTTGCCAAAATTGTTACACAGATTTAATACAATCTCAATCAAAATACCAATAGTATAGCTCACAGAATTAGAGAAAATAATCCTAAAATTCACATGAAACCAGAAGAGACCTAGAAGAGCAAAAGCAGATCTGGGCAACAAAGACAAGGCAGGGAACATCACAATCCCTGATTTGAAGTTATACTACAAAGTTACCGTGAAAGAAACAGCACAGGACTGGCAGGAAAAAAACAAAAAACCCAGACCCAAGGATCAGTGGAAAAGAACAGAAGATGCAGGGGGCCAGGGACTTAGCTCAGTGGTTCTGCCTCCTGCCTCGAAAGTGCAAGGTCTCGAGTGCAAAAGAAAAGAAATGCTTTCAGAGCTGTGGTGAAAAAGGGACTCTTCTCTACTGTTGGTGGAAGTGTAGACTGGTGCAACTACAGTGGAATTCAGTGTGGCGATTCCTCAAAACACTCTATCTACAGGTCCCATTTGACCCAGCTAATCCCCTTCTTGGTATCTTCCCGAAAGAATTAAAAGCATCATACCACAGTGACATATGCACACTCACGTTTACAGAGGCACAGTTTGTAGCAGCTAAATCTTGGAAATAGTCCAAATGCCCATCAAATGATGAATGGGTAAAGACGTGTGGGGTTTTTTTTTAATACAATGAAGTACTACTCTGCCATAAAGAAGGATAAGCTTGAGATATTTCTAGTTAAATGGATATATCTTGAGACCATACTCTTAAGTAAAATAAATTGGACAAACATGTTTAAATACCACATTGTTTCTCTGGTGTGAGAAACCAAAAGTGGAAATAAGGGCCAAAAGATATAACAGATATTTGGAAATGGGAAGAGAATGTTCTAATGAGAAGGGGAATAAGGGAGGGGAGAAGGGGAATGAAAAGAAGGGACAAGAGAAAAAAGAAAATAGAAGGAAAAATGGAAACAAAGCTTTTGTAAATAAAAAGGGGTTGATGGGAGAGTAGGGGAATGGGGAAAAAAAGCAAGATGTATCATGTACAGGTACCAGTTCCCTATTATGAAAGCTATCGTGTGTGTGTGTGTGTGTGTATAACATACCAGTTAAAAAAACTATAATTTCACACACAAAAAAAATTTTTTTTGGTACCGGGATACAAACTCGGGTCCTTGCGCTTGAGAGGCAGGCAGGTGAACCACTGAGCTAAATCCCCAGCCAAAAACAAAATTTTTTTAACTTAAAAAAATCACAAATTCACAGGAAAGCTGGAGTATAATATAAAACACTTTTTTTCTGATATAGGTGAGAGTAAATTGCTGGCTTGATTGATGTCCTACCACTTCAAATTACTGTTTATTTCCTACCCACAGGACTTTCTCGTAAACAAGCACAGTACAAACGATTACGACAACATGGGAACACTGGCGCATGACCACCAAGTGACCCTCAGGTCCATTCTGGTCTTCCTGCTTCTCCCAGTGAAGCCCTCCACAGCGGACAAAAAGCCTGTGGCCAGCAAGTCTCTGTGGGTTCCTTCAATCTGAAAGCTCTCAGGTTTCCTTGACTTTTATGACCCTCTCACTTTTTTTTTGCTTGCTTTTTAAAGAAAGAGTCTAGCTTTGAAGTTGTGGCTGGCCTAGAATTCACTTTGTAGCCCAGGCCAGGCTCAAACTTGCAGTGATCTCCCTGCCTCAGCCTCCTGAGTGCTGGCATTACAGGTGTGCACCACCATGCCTAGCAATGATTTTCTCACTTTTGAAGAGTAACAGGCTAATTTGTTTCTGAATGCCTCTGAGCCTAGCTTTGTTTGATTATCATATTATGCATCGCTGCAAGAACATCACAGAAAGGACTGCACCCTTATAAGGTGTCAGGATCTCAGTTCCTTTCACTCAGGTGATGTTCACTTTGATCACTGGATTAAGGACAGGCTTCTCTATAAGTTACTTTTCCTCTTTGTAATTAATAAATATTTTGTGGGGAGCTATTCTGAAACATTTTTTTTGTTAGTGAGAACCCATGGCTTCCTAATTCATTCATTCAGCTATACTATAAGTTATATTTATTTTGTTCCTTAAATCACCCTTGGTTTGGCCACAGGAAGCCCACTGGGCTGGTTCCATGTCCCTCTGACAGATTTCAGTCATCCTTTGAGCATTTTCTTATTTTGTGCTTATACTCTTCCCGCCTCAGCTCTGGAATCAGCCATTTTCCTTGAGAGTGTGGTTCCCTTTAATGGGAAACAGCCTTTAGAAACTAAGACCCAAGCGGGGATGGTGGCATGTCTATAATCCCAGCACTCCTGGAGGCTGGCGCAGGAGGATCACAAGTACGAGTCCAGCCTGGGCAACTTAGTGAGACCCTGAATCAATATAAAAAATAAAAGGGCTGGGGATATAGCTCAGTGTGAAGGTCCTGGGTTCAAACTCCAGTACTGAAAAGGAGAAAAAAAAAGCAGCAGCAGCAGTGGTGGCAACAGCAGTAGCAGCGGTAGCGGCGGCAGTGATCTAGATGCTAGGTATGTTCAGAGCTCAGAAATGTATGAGTATGGGTATATTTGTGTGTGCACATAAATAAATGATGCATCTCCATGAATATGCATATATATCAAATTTTAGTCCTGTATTTATCTATCTACACATTAAAAACTAGGCTTCTAGGGCCAGGGATTTAGCTCAGTAGTTCCGCTGCCTGTCTCGAAAGCCCAAGGACCCTCAATCCCCGGTACCAAAAAAAAACAAAAACAAAAAAAAACAAACTAGGCTTCTAACCAACAGCTCCAATTTCAGGTTCATTCTAACTTTCTTTCCATATTTTAACTCTCTTCTACAGTGGCAAATAATTTGGCTAATACCTTGGGGGGGGTGTGGTATGGGTGGAGGTTTTGCCCTGAGCCACCTCCTTATCCCTGTTTAAACTTTTTATTTTTATTTTTTTTAAACTTTTCATTTTGAAGCAGGGTCTCACTAAGCACTAAATCACCCAGGCTGGGCTAGAGCTTTTGATTCTTCTGCCTGAATCTGGGGTTATGGGCCTGTGCTGTCATGCCCACTTGTCATCTTGCTATCCTTACCATACTTATCTGGTTGATGCCCCTAAGAGTAACCAATCTCCTATTCCCTGTTGCCACATCCCTTTTACCTAGGGAGGCTCTGACCCCCTGTAAGGGGCCACCCAGAGAATTTTGCTATTTAATGACAAAGGAGTTACAAAAAAAAAAAAGTATGATTTTTTTCCCCCAGTACTGGGATTGATCCCAGGACCTCTGTACTGAGCTGTATTTCCAGCCCTTTTAATTTTTTAAAATTTCAAGATAGGGTCTTACTAAGTTCCTAAGTTGCCCAGGCTGGGCTTGAACTTGTGATCCTCCAGCCTCAGCCTCCAAGCGTGCCAAGACTGCAGGTGGTCCGCACCTTGTCTGGCTTCTATACAGCTCACAGCAAAGTCTTACTTTATTCCTATTCCTAATTTACATACAGCCCCTTTTCTTCTATAGACAGGGTAAAATGAGTCACTAACGACATCTGAATACTTCTTGTGCACTCATAACCACGGGTAACGTGCCCTGCCATAATTAACACACGAGGACCCCTTGCAGCTGGCACTGTCATGCTCCCCGTTCTATAGGTGAACAAAGGCGAGGACAGATAGGTAGAGTAGTAATTCACGGCGGGCTCTGAAGCCACGCATTTTGAACCTAGAGTTCCTTCTCATCATTTGCCTTCTAAGTGAATTCTTTAGGTGAGAGGAGCAAATAATGGATGGCAGGTGAGTAAAGGACAGAGCTCATTCTTTCTGTTACAGTGCTGTTTAGATTTATGGAAACCTGGAAAAGGGCTGGGGTGTAGCCACGTCCCTAGCATGGTCGAAGCTCTGGGTTCAATCCCCAGCACCACAAAAAAAGGGAGGGGGATATTATTTACTAAGAATTTTGAATTAAAATTATTAAAGCTGATGAATTTTTATTAAATAGGTATCACAGAATATCCTCGTAAGTCACCCTGGAATATCCCTTGTGACTAGGCCTAGCTTGTTCCGTCTTGCACAAGCACGAAATGTATGTTCTTTAGTTCTACATATAAAAACATTAAAAGCAAAGTGACCTTACCAAAATCTCTTTTATTGCAAGTCTCATCACTTTTTCAATCTCATTTATTTCCAGAGGTCTGGCAATGGCTTCTGTTCTCAGTTTCTAAGAGAAACAATAAAACTATTAACAAATATTTTCAGAAATGGAGTTTTCACAATACTTACTGTAGTCCTCAAGTAAGAGGACTTGGTAGCATCAGTTGTCACACATTAAAAAAAAAAAATGGAGTTTTCAAAACTAATGTTCCCTGCTGGGTGTGGTGGCGCATGCCTGTAATCCCAGCACTCAGGAGGCTGAGGCAGGAGGATCACTGTGAGTTCGAGACCAGCCTGGGCTACATAGTGAGTTCCAGGTCAGTCTCAAATAGTGAGACCCTGTCTCAAACAAACAAACAAAACTAATGTTCCTAGATCCAGATAGAGATTATGAACTAATTCTCCAAAATTTCATTACAGGTGCTGGGGATGTGGTTCAGTGGTAGAACACATGCTTACCATGTGCAAGGTCCTGGTTTCAATCCTAGTTACCAAAGGAACAGAACAGTTTCATTATAATGTGGATCTGTGATGCAAAGCCACCTCTGCAATCACCTCCGACGAACATCCTCCAATGCCCACCTGAACCCTTCCCAGAGCTCAGGTCCTCCTTTTCAGTTTAAGGTCCCATGTGCCACTCCCTCCATGGGCAAACTGATCTTACTACCCCACATCTGCTTCTCAACCTGCCTTCTGGCCAGGGGACCCCCAAACCTAGCACAGCACAATATGCTATCTAAATCCCTATTGGCCTCTGCAACTGTTTTACAATGAAGTCTCTCCAATGCCTAACATATGACAAATATCCAGGAAAATAGCCACTTTGGCCCTGTCTCTAGAGTTAATAAACCTAAATTTGTGACTACCCTATTAGCAATGGAAATTTCTGAGACATGAGATTTTAATGTAGATGCAGTTATGAGGTGGCTTACAGACTGAACATATCACTCCCAAAATCATATGCTGAAATCTTAACCTGCAATGTAATGATTTTAAAAGGTGAGTGCGTTTTTTAGCAGGTAATTAGATCATGAGGGTGGCACCCTCATGAATGGAGTTAGTGACCTTATAGACAAGACTCTGAAGAGCTCCCTAACCCTTCTGCTGTATGAGGACGCAGGAAAAAAAAAAAAAGCCAAAACACTGTCTAGCTAGGCATGGTGGTCCACCTCTGTATTCCTAGCTATATGGGAAGCTGAGGCAGGAGGATTCCAAGTTTGAGGCCCACCTGACCAAATCAGCAAGATCCTGTCTCAAAGTAAAACTTTAAAGGAGGATGGCAAGAACAAGGCCCTGGATTCAATGCCCAACACCACAGAGGTGAGGGAGCACTGTCCATGGGGAATAGGCCCTCACCAGACCCTGAGCTAGGACTTCTCCATCTCCAGAGCTGTGAGAAAAAAGTTTCCGTAATTTTCAAGCCATCTAGTTTATTATAGTTTGTTCTAGTAGCCTGGACAGTGTAAGACATGGCTCCTGGAGCACCCTATGTGGGTGTGGGTGTGTTACTGGGGATTGAGTCCAGGGCCTTAGCACTGAGCTACATCCTCAGTCCTTTAGTTTTTATTTTAATCTTTTTTTTTGTACCAGGGATCAAACATGGGCTGCTGTGCTTGCAAAGCAGGTGGCAGAACCACTGAGCCAAATCCCTGCCCTTTTTTTTTTAAATCTTTATTTATTTATTTTTAATCCTTTTTTAATTTTTATTTTTTATTTTGAGACATGGTCACACTAAGTCACTAAGTTGCCCAGTCTGGCCTCAAACTTGGGATGCTCCTGCTTCAGCCTCCGAGACTGCTGGGATTATAAGTGTGCACCACCATATCTAGCTCCTAGATCACCTTACTAAATGCCACCTGGACTACCCTTATCCTACGACATGCCTTACCTCCTCCACTGGTTAAAAATTAAACTATGAAAGAACGATGACTGATCCTCACAATTTCCTGAATGCTTGAAAAACAAATATGGGATGGGGCTCTTCCTCAGATGAGGACTACACACAACATTTTAGAGGAATCATATTCAGAGGCCATGCTTTCCTTGAGAACAGGTCAGCCATGGACTATCTGAGTCCCTATCATTCACTCCAGGACACTGGGGAAGTCTCACAATGAACCTAGAGCTCTACTGGCACTTAGCTAGTGACCAGCTCCTGTCTCCAGGTCTCTCCCGAATATGTGCTCTACTTCACTGTAAGCAGGAAACACGGAAAGCCTGAAGTTGCCTCATGAGTCACCTGCACTGGTTGGCAGAACTTAGTGGCAGTTCCGTTTTGCTACCCACCCTTCACCACATGGCAGCCATTTCTAGAGTAGAAATAAAAGGCAGAAGGAAAAAATACCATTACATTACAGCAACCAGAATACAGGCAAGGCAGTGACAGTGGTCAAAGCTGACGTACCCAGCAGAAAGTGAGAGAACAAAATTTATTGAATGTAAAAACTCTAGATTGAACACATGCTCTAAATGCCATCAATCCTTATACTCCATCTCTTTTTAAATCAGTAGTTCTCTGGCTGGGCATGGTGCTGCACTACTATAATCCCAGCACTCAGGAGGCTGAGGCAGGAAGATTGCCATGAGTTTGAGGCCAGCCTGGGTTACACAGTTAGTTCAAGGACAGCCAGAACTGCATAGTACGACCCTGTATCAAACAAAACAAAACAAAACAAATCAATAGTTCCCAAACTGTGCTTCTCGTTGGAATCACCTGGTAATCTTTAAACCATGATTCCTGTTCTCATGCCTAGGCACATGAACTCATTGGTGTGAGGAAAATCTAGATGTGGAGTGAGTGTGTTTAGTAAAGCTTAGGAAACAGACTCTCAAACAGTTGCTTAAGTGGAGCGGAGAGGGAACACTCCCTGAGTGGCTCTAGCTAGAATAAAGATTGCAAAGAAGTAACAGTAACACAAACTCCAACTGCTTGTGAGCAACTCCCTCGCTTGTTGATCCCAATTTGCTGTATGTCAGAATCACCTGGGAGACTTCTGCAACCACCCTCCACCCGCAGTGTCAGATCTCATTCCATAACAGAAACATCGGAATGCAAGTCAGGCTTTTATAGATGCTCAACTCAGCTGAGTATATGGGTGCACGCCAAACCAGTGCTCTGGAAGGCTGTAAGTTCCAAGCCCAATCTGGGCAATTTAGCAACTTAGTGAGACCCCATTTCAAAATAAAAAGGACTGAGGATGAAGCTCAATGTGAAGGCTCTAGTTTCAAACCCCAGTACTGCACCACACGCACCCTAAAAAGATCCTAAAGAAGTTCATGGGGAACATGGAAAAGGCATCATAATTAATAATGTCTGCCACAGGCACATGAAGGGCAGTCTCGGTGACATGCCACCCATTTGCCCTTCTTAAACTGGAAGCTTAAGAGAGTAAAACCTGGGCCCAGTAGAAGCAGTCATAGCATCCAACATACTGCATCATTTTAAATCGCAAACCTTCTCTCTTTCAATCAGGTACAGCTTAAGAAAATGAGAACCAAAAAGCAAGAAACAGAATTTTTTTAAAAAACTGGAAGAAAAACTTGCATTCTTCATGTGCTTACCCTTAGCTCGACCTCCTTTCCCAGCAAGTCATACAGAAATGCTCCTTTGGAGGTGATCTCAGAGGCAAGCTGCTTGGCTGCTTTCAAATCTGCAATCTAGAAGGGAAAGCCGTAACAGGTGCATGTTCAGTAGCTGGTCCATGAATACCAGCTGCTGTCCTGAGGTGGGACACGTCACTACAGAACACGTGTTTCTCAAGCCCCACACTTACATGCTGCAAGACAGAGCTCCCAAGACACCTGCTTGGGAAACACTAAGGACAAATGGAACCGATTCCAGGACCCCCGGTCCCTCAAAAAGCCAAATGTCAAGTTAAGCTAAATCCACAATGAGGAGGTAGAAGCAGAAGAAAGCTGACACATTTCCTATTTGAAAGAGGTTACAATGATCCCTGACAGTAGTGAGGTAACTAAATGAAAGGATACTCTGAGAAACAGGTGTTTTTTATGGCTAGGACCCAAAAGGCTCATGTTGAAGGCCTGATTGCCAACTGAAGACTTCTGGATGGTAAACAGATCATGAGGGCTCTAAATTCATCAAGTGGGTTAACCCATTAATGAGTTCATTAGCTAAACGGGCTTATTAGGAGGTGGGCCCTAACCAGATGAAGCAGGTCACTGGGAGGGAGGAGCTTTGAAGGATATACTGTATCTCGTCCCTGTCCTGCTTTTCTCTGGCTCTCTCTCTGATTTCAGGCTACTGCAGCTTGGATCCATCATGACCTGCTGCCCTGATGTTTCTGTGTCACCACAGGCCTAGAAAGAATGAACTTAAACTTCTGAAACCGTTGAGCCAAAATAAATATTTCCTCTTTTAAGTTGATTTTCTCAGGTATTTTGTCACAGCGACAGAAAGCTAACACTATATTCTACTGCAGCAACCTGAAGGCTCATGTTTAATATTCCCCAGCCCCCTCAACGTCTGCCTTAGTCTTTCTTCCACAGGGCTACCATGATGTCACACCCGCCAAACACAACAATTCTGAGCTCCACAAAGGAGGGGCTACTGCCAGGAAGACAATGCCAAAGATCCTAACTCAGCATTCAGGCTTCTTCCTTTGGGGTATGTGCCTTCCCTCTTTCTTGAATATGCTAAATTCCCAAAGAGCCCTTTCATGAACATCTGCCTGTTAGTCTGCTCACCCTCTCTGCTGAAAAACTGATCCTTATTTCCTCTTGCATTTTCAATCCACTGGCAACAGCTTTCCCTCTTCACTCTCAACGGATGACTCCGTTCCTCTTTCCTGGTCCTTACAGATGCAGCCCCTGTAGCTGCTTTTCCTACCTAGCTGGCAGTAGGTCCCTACTGTCGGCAGGGTTTCCCTCACCTTTCCCACTTCTCAGCAGGCCCAAGACATCTCCTTGCCTATTGGCACTCCTCCTGTCACCATGGCTTTAATTCTGCCTAGGTGCAGATGCCTCCCAACTTCCAGCTCCAGCCTCACATATCAACTACCTGCTTAGCGTCTCTACTTGGACAGCCAATGGGCACCACGAATGTAAAAGGTCAAGAACCAAACTCTTAATCTTTCGTACCAAACCTATGCCCTTCCAGACTTTACTCCACCTTCAATAAATATAACTTCATCTTCCATGTGCTCAGATCAAAAACTTTATAGAATTGCAGTATCTAAAATTGTAGTCACTCGCATGTGTGGCCATTTCACATTAAAATTAAAATTAAATAACATTTAGAGCTCTGTTTGTCAGTTTTTCTAGTTCCTTTGACCCCTGGGTCCCACAGAACAGAGCACAGACAGATACCTTGGCATTCAGTACAGAAAGTCTGATGGCACAGCGCTGATAGGGAAAACTTTTATAAACAGCAAAAACCTATAAAGTGTTACAATGTAAAATGGCTTCTGCGGTCTCTAACAGCAGTTTGTTTTGCTCAGAATAGGCACCGAAGGCACTAAATGCTGAATGAGGCATTCGGTCTGACCCTGAGATAACAGGGTGCATCAAGACCTTGAGCTCTGAAGAGACTGGAGCCACATGATCGTAAGAGTGTCTAGATGAAATAACCCATTGCTAACATTCGCTCCCCTGACCCTGAACACCCCCTTCCTATGGACTAGAATAGATAACTGGGCGAATCTTCAAGGTACACTGCCCAAGTGCAAGGAACTCTTACATCTGGGTTGAAAAGATGAACTATTCTGTGACCGTGATTTGAACTGTGAGAATGAAATGTAACCACCCAAACGAAGTCAAGGCCGTGAAACCCTATAAAAGGAGGAGCTATAACCCAGTGTGACGTCCATCCAGGCAGGGCTTACATGCGACCGACCCTTATTGATGAGTCAATTTGTTATTTTACTTCCGTTCTGCTGCCTCTCTGTGTGTCACTTACTGATTCCTTCCGTCACAGGGCCACTTCAGGATCTTCCATGTATCATTTCATCTACCTCAGTCCGTCCGTATCCAATCCTGTCGTAGCTACCTTCAAAATGTGCCTGAACTGCCAATCACTTCTCTCCTTTGGGGAGTCTGGTTCCTCATTAAAAACCAACATGGCAGCCAGGCACGGTGGTATACAAATGTAATCCCAGTTATTGGGAGGCTGAAGCACGAGGATCAACGAGTTTGAGGCTAGCCTCAGCAACTCAGTAAGATCCGGTGTCAAAATGAAAATTTTTATAAAAGGCCAGGGATGTACCTAAATGCTAAGAGTGCTTGCCTAGCGTGTGTGAGGTCCCAGGTTCGATCTTCAGTACCACAAAATAAAACAAAACAAAAACCAATGTGTGTTTTTTTTCAGGTCCAACCACACTGATTACAGGCTTTCCCTGGCAGACCTCACACAGAACAGCTGCCCTACCATGAGACCGGGGCACAGGTAACGTACTACTGCCCCTGAGGGAACTGTGGTCAAGGACTCAGTCCCCTAGCCTTGCTTGCTCTCTCTCTCTTTTGTTGCAGAGGGTTTATGAAACAGGGTCTGGCTATGTCATTCAGGCTGGCCTTGAACCCACTATGTAACCCAGGCTAGCCTCAAACTCAATCCTGCTTCAGCCTCCCAATTGCTGGGATTACAGGTGTATACCACTACATGCAGCTTCTCTCCTTTTGGTGGGGGGCACTGCTGAGATAAGAGTCATATAGTTTTTTCGTTGTGTTTTTTTTTTTTTTTTTTTTTTTTTTTTTTTTT